TTTTTGCGCACATGGGCACTAAATTCACTAAATCCTTGATGTACTGTACTACAGTTTTGGAACACGTACTTCCGTAAACCGTCTCCATAGTGTAAAACGAAACAGGTGACCTTTCGCAAGCCGGGTGACTTCTGTTCAATGCTGCCTTTCCCTGCGGCCGGGTGACTTTCCGCAAGCCCGAGGGATTTAACACATACACTACTAGCATATGATAAGATATCATCAGACCTGAGGATCTTAGAAGGCAGGAAATCTTCTTACAGTGTCCACGGCTTTCTTAGTCTCTGGCAAGCCCCTTGGGGCCTTGTTTCCAGCCAAGGTGCAGCAACAGCTTCGGGATGTGACGTCCATTCATGCCACTGGTTCTGCCTTCGCAGCGATAAAGGCTGATGGAAGCCTAGTGACGTGGGGCGATTTGGGCTATGGTGGTGATAGTCTCGCGGTTCAGGATCAACTCCGACACTTGGCAAGAGCAACTTTCGACATTTGCTGAATACCGTAGACTCTGTGGACCTTTTCTTGTGAAGCTAAAGGAAGGACCTCTCATCACATCTCATCATTTTGTACAAATCAGTCTGTCTCCAACTGAAGACGCACACATGGATTTGATGGTGCCCCTCGGCCTGCAGCCGAAATGCTCACGTCTATCACGCATTCCTCCAAGAATTCGATGCCCCAAAACAGTGTTTGCTTCAAGAGGTTCTCAGATTCACCACAAATACTGGGTGTCGACACCCTCCAAAGCCCGCAAAGCCCACCCAGGCAAGACAATGTAGACTCTTGATGAATTTGGATTGTACAACATCCATATATGCTGGTGTTTAATTCATCAAGAGTCCACATTACATGAGATCCAGGAGATGTGCAGATGGTTTCCTCCACGGACTATGCCTTTGTGGCGATCAGGCACGATGGAACAGCAGTCGCCTGGGGAGATCCCGACAAAGGAGGTCAGTTGAGCGAGAAGACCAGGATCGAGTTGCAGAGCCTCATGTCACTTGGGCAGTCGCCATAATGTTTGAGCAGAATGGCTTCTCGGCCCTTTCCTCCCAGAAAAA